GTAGTCAGTGAGGGGGGACTTCCCTAAGGAAACTATAGGTGGTGCTGCATCACAGGGTAGAAGTAGGAGCTGATCAGGTAGAAAGGAAGGAAACACAAGTAGCAGAGGACTTGGGTATGAGGAGGGAATGTGTGTGTGTGTGTGTGTGTGTGTGTGTGTGTGTACCGTCAAATCAGATCTGACTGATACAGGAGATTGTTCCTCCTTCTCCAGCAGAGCATCTGGTGGATTTGAACCGTGGACCTCTGAGATTGCAGTGCAGCTTCTTGCCACTAGGCCACCAGAGCTCACCAGGAGGTATTTTTTTCTTATAATAAGAGAACCATTTAGTTTGGTTTTTTTTTTTAACCATTTAGGTTTTGCTGGAGTGGTGGGGGAGGAAGAACTGGGGGCAAGAGAGCCTCAGTGACCACTCACATTTGCAACACAATGGGCTTCTCATCCTGTCAAAGAATGGGCACTGCCAGGAGTTTTGGGCAAAGAGATGATGCAACAAGTGTGCCTAGAAAGCAACAAAAACTTGGGGAGGATGTCTGCCAGCTTTCCTGTGTGGATCAAGCCCACTCCTTCCCCTCCAATTCATTTACTAAGTCATTCAACTCCAGTGGGGAGGGGTGGGCAGGGAGAAAAGTGGAACAATGAATGAATGGAAATCCAAAGCCTCTGTAAATTTTCCTTAAAATGAATAAATAAAATTATTCTTAAAAAAGTTATTCCAGGTCTGCCCGGTACCAGGTGACACAGGAGCTGGAAATCAAGAGATGAACGGGGCTACTGAGGTTTCCATGTCAAGCCGGAAGAAGAAGGACGTTAAACAAGTGAGCAAGCTAGGAGCTTTCAGGTAAGTGCTGCTGGGAAATGCAGCCCGGTGAGAGGAGAAGCCCCTGCTTCCCCTACTCTCCTGCTCCTGCCAGCAATCCTCATCAAGCCTCCCGCCTCTGATCTAACTTTTGATTCCCAAGGAGGCTTTGCTCCTAGAAAAATGTCTACAGTAAATAATTAAACCAGCGCTCTAGGTGTTTTCCAATAAACCTTGTCCAAATAAGGTAGCCAGAGCTAGTTTTCCCCAGAGTTGGGACATTTTTGCTTAAGGACCCTTGATTTTGTCGGAATGGTCAAGTTTAAGGCCGTAGCTACCTTGAAACCCTTGTTGATCACGATTCCCATGGCAACACATGCTTTTCCTTTCCACACTCTATCTACCTTCTTCAATGTATATATATACACGCGAGTGTGGATATGGATTGAAGAGGAGCATTTGAAACGGTGGCGACAAGTGTGCCTTCCTGTCTGCCCTGAGTTTTGCGCTCCTTTAAAGAACTGGCTCTCTAAGGGACGGAATTAACAGCAACTAGAAAGGCTAAGTAGGAAGGCTGGAGGAAGAGTGTTTAGGCTAACGTATAGGGAACAATTCAGAAAAGGAAGGTGAAAATGATTGCAAAACTTGGAGGAGATCATCAGTGTCACTGATTTGTATATGTAGAAATTGTTGCATTGGTGTATACTCTACTGTGTATATTTTCAACAATACAAAATAACAATTGTTATTATTTTTTTAAAATCCCACAGATCCTGTGCATTGATTACTCCTTGAAACTTTTCAAACACTCCTGCGGGCAGCTTTTAGGCCTAGAGCCCCCTTCCCTGCCCACCCCAGCATTCTGCTCTGCTCGCACTGGGAGGGTGGGGAATGGGGCCCCGGGCACCGAGTGTCCCCTGGCCCAGCTCATCACTACTCGGGCGTTGGCATGTCAGCGCTTTTTGGTGCCAAAGGGATGCAGGCCAAGAACAAGTATGCGAACGTTGTATTAAAGGCAGCTGAAGAGACCAGGGGCTGAAACTGCAGACTTCCCGTTGTGCCCCTTGGTCTTCCTCCATTTGACACACTCACTGCAGCTTCTTTCTCCTTTTCGACAACGAAAAACGTCCAAAGACCTAGGAGAATTCTGTGTTTTAGGGAAATCTAGAGAAAACCCCAGGTCTTGTTCAACCCCCTGAAGGCCTCTTTTGCTCTCTAGGGGACAGTTGTGGTGAGGGAATAACTAAACCAGAGGCCCTCCTCAGAGGGACTTTCATTCTAACTAGGGAGAAGGTACTAATAAAAACAAAAAACAAAACAAACCAAAAACCAGTTTACACCTGACAGGGTGTTTTTACATATTAAATCATAGGGTCTGAGCCCAAAGTAAATGTAAAGATCATGTCCACAGCACCCGATTCTTAGCAGATACTTCCTAAACTTCTGAACACTTTGTTATTTTTGTTAGGTGCCAGTCGTGTCTGACTCATAGAGACCCTCTGAGCAACAGATCTGAACCCTGTCCTATCCTGCACCATCCATCCTCCTCATCTCTGACTTGTGCCCATTGCAGCAATCCTTGTGTCTGTTCATCTCTTTGAAGGTCTATGAAGAAAAACGTGGCCTCCGGATAGGAAGAAGACATCTGAACACTAGACACTGCTAACTGGTCACTCATTCATTCACTAATTGAACACTTATTTAATGGACATCTTCCAGGTTCTGCATTTTAGGTTAGGAAAAAGGAAGAAAGCCAGATATACTTGTTTGAGACCCTCCAAGAGGTGTCACTCCTTGGAAATAGACGTCATTCCGGGAAAGGTGGAGGGTAAGTCAAAGAGAGGCGGATGGTCAACAAGATGGATTGACACACACACACACACACACACACACACACACACAAAAGTGGATTGACACAGTGTCTGTAACAATAGGCTCACCATATCAGATACCTTGAGGATGTGTGAGGGAGGGCAAGGTTCACATCTTATGTTCACAGGGTTGCCATTGTTAGATGGGACAATTTAAGGCTATCTAACAACAACAATGTTGCATCTGTGAAATGTATCGGGGGTTTTTGTTGTGGTGGTGATTTTGTCTTTTAAAGATAGGGCATCACAGATTGGGAGGTAAGCTAAGGGGTGGAAGGCAGGAGACAAGGCATGCTCCATGGCCAGTAGAGGAGGTAAGGTTATTAAATGCAGTCCCTGTTCAGCGGGCAGGCCTTAAAAAGCAATCACTTGATAGGAGAGGTGTAGAAGAGCTTGAACAAAGTCAAATATTATTCTACTGCTTATCCTCCCCTTGCCCATAGCATTACGCCCTCACTCTGGGCCCTTAAATAACAACCTGTGATTTGTTGCCCAACTACCCAGCATGGGCAATCCTCATGAATTCTAATATCTTCTCTGTGAAATCAGTATGATTCCCCTCCTCCCATTTTACACTTGAGGAAAAAGTCTTGAGAGAACCTGAGCCACTAGCATCCCTTGGCCATCAAGTAGGCAGGGAGCAAGGATCTGAGTGCACTCTTGCTTGTTGTCTGGCTTCAGGATGGGGGAACCTGCCACAATTCTTTCCTGGCCAAAATGTGAGGGCCCAGGAGCTCACACAACCAACACGCGCAAAATGACAGAAGACTTTTTCTACTGTGGCTAGTCTGACTGGTCTCAGAGAGGTGGGCAACTTTTGGCAGAGGAACGCAAGGAAGAAGACAAGCCACGGAAGGTGAAGGAGGAGGGAGAGGAGGGGCCGGAGAAGTGGAGTGCACTCTCTGGAGGGGCCTCCCTCTAAACACTACCCAGCTCGGTTAATCATTCCCTGACCTTCCTTCCTCCTCTCGCCTCACCCGCCGGATTGCCACATCAGCTACCTCCCTCCCGCCGGCCTGATGATTCGCCGGGTTTTCCCAGGATCCCCGGTTTTGAGGCTGTATTTATATTGACCCCCATGCCCTTGGGCCGTGCCCTAGAGAGATCATTAGCTCCCTAGGATCTAACGCCTATTCAAACGCCCCAGGAGGCTTGGCCTTCCCCCTCAGCCACCTTCTAAAAAGGTCAGGCTGCAGAGATCCAGTCCTGAAACTGATTAGCAAGTTACAGACGCAGCAATATAGCTGGTGACAGCTGCAGGAGGGTGTTTGCAAGGCTTAAGTTAGATAATGTATGTAAAGTGGCCGGCTGCAGGGTAGCTGTTCAGTAGAGTCATAGCTGACCCTCCAGTGGATTTTCAGAGGCAACTGATGGCACCAGAAGAGATTGCTCTCCCTTCTCCAGCGGAGCAACTGGTGGGTTTGAACCTCGTGCCTTTGAGTTGGCCTCACAACTCACTACTAGGCCACCAGATCTCCCTGGTAGGTAGTAGTGGGTGGGTAACACATATTTGAGCCTTTCTGATTTTTTTAATCTCCCAGGAATGGGCATTTCCGGCTCAGAAAACTGTAGTTTATATAACTTCTAGAAGCTTCTAGAAGTGGCCGAGGAATGAAAAGTCCGATGTCCCTCTCGTGGGTCAGAGGCAGGGTTTGCATGCAGATTGTAGGCACAGCTTTGGGCTCTACCACTTGCTGTCCAGGTGAACGTGTGAAGAAGCCATGTGTGAAGCCACAGCAGCGCCAGCACCACACCTGCCCCATGTGCTGGGCTCTCAGCGTTGCTCTGAAGCCCACGCAGTCCGCTGGTCGCTAGAGGCCAGGCCTTTAACCTCTCTGAGCTCACTTCTTCCGGTAGAAGATGGGGTCTAAAGTGTGTGTTTTTATTTTCTTATTTTTCTGGCTGACCAGATTTTCTACCACGATGCCGCTACACACCATGCAAAGCTAATCCTTTCAGCCTAGGAGCGCTCGCCGGGAAGCGGTGAACGCAGCAGAGTGGACCCCGAGTCCCCCGGCTGGGCGCCCCGTCCTTCATGGGGCCTAGGGATCCGACCAGTCGCTTCCGAGCGCTGCTGGACTGCCGGGCACTGAGCAGCGCGCGCCGGGACCCCACGGTCCGAGAACGGACGGGGCGGGGCCAGGCCTGGGGGCGGAGTCTGACCGGGCTCGGGGCGGGGCTGGCCTGGGAAGGCGGAAGCCTACGGTCTAGGGGTGGCGGCAAAACCCGGATGGGACTTTTCACGTTTTCCGGAGCGGCGCTCCGGGAAACGGCGGGTGGGAAAACCCGGCGCCCGGCAGCCCTTGTTTTCTTTGACGCAAGGGCTCGGGACGCAGCCGCCGTCGGCGGAGCGCCTGTTGAGAAGCGACCCCAGACGGAGCTTCTGTAGTCCCTCCGCCCCCACTTCGCCCGGTCTCGGAGCCTTAGTCCTCCCCGCTGCCTTCCTGGTGGCCATGGAGTGTCCGCACCTCAGTTCCAGCGTCTGCATCGCTCCGGACTCAGCCAAGTTCCCCAACGGCTCCCCGTCGTCCTGGTGCTGCAGCGGTGAGTGCGGCTCCGGGCCGCGCGGCCGGGCACCCGAGGCCCCGGCTCCGCGGGGCCTGCCGTCTAGGGGTCGCGGACTGCCGGCGCGACGACTTTGAGAGGGGCGAGGGTGAGCGGGGCCCGGCCGGCTGGGCTAGGGGTACGTGCTAAGGCGGGCGGAGCGGCGGCGACGGCGGCTCCTTTGTTTCCCGCAGCCCGACGGCCCGGCCGGGGATGGAGAGGCGCGAGGGGCGGGAGCCCGCGGGGCCTCGCGCGCGGGGGGCGCCAGCGGCGGTGAGGGACCCCGGCCCGCGGTTCGCGCCCCCGCCGCGCCGCCCTGTGGGGACCGAGCTTGCGCCTGCCGTGGGGTTGGGGGCTGTGGGGAGCGTGTGTCCGGCCCGGCACTGAACGGAGCAGGCGGGGACGATGCCGCTCTCCGGGCGCAGCTTTGTCTGGGCTGCGGGGTGCCCGGACGGTCCCTCGCCGCCCGTTCAGGCCCGGCTTCCTTGCCCTTCCCTGCCGACTCAGGCGGCCGTGTCCGCGGCGGGCGGGGGCCGGGAGCGGCGCTCGGAAGCTTGGGCGGCCGAGCTCCGAGTGTTTCATCAGCCGGAGGGTGAAGTTTGAAAACAGGCTGGAGCTAAAGAACTTGGGAGGAGGGAGGCGAAGCCAACAGCTGCTTTAGAGGAGCGGCTCGAGTTTGGCTTTCCCATCTTTTGGGTTGTCTGGGATTGTTTGGGAGTCCCGAGTTCATGTGCTCGGGGAACGCTATTAGGTTTATGTAATGCCTTTTGCTTACGTAGCTTAAGCATTTTAACTCCTTCTGCGGGTCCCTTTGAAAACCCCACTGCCCTCTCATTGTCTGCTCCAGCGATTTAGGATCGCGCCGGCCACACTGCTTTGATTACTTCCTGGTAGAGCCCTAGGGCCGCAGCTCGAGTCTTTGTTTATTAGCTTTCAGATGATCAATGGTAGCTTGACTTGGAGTGTAAAATTAGAGTCGTACGTTTAAAAAAAAAAAAAAAATCTTGTGTGCCTTTGAAAAACTCAAAGGAGCAGCGATATAGTTTGGCTTATGAGACATTTCTCATTGTGGGTCGCAGCTGGGAAGGGAGTTTTGACACTTTTGACAGGTTGCTTCCTAAATGGTGATTATGCCCGAAGAAAGAAACAGCGTACACAAAGGAAAAATGTACCCAAGGATAAAAGAATAGATGTAACTGCAGTTTCCTGGAGCCCACCGAGGTTTGAGGTTTGGTGCTTTTGCTTGGCTTTTGTAAGTCAAGATTGCTTTATCTCCATGAAGCCTTTAAAGATTAACTGGTTAATTGGCTTTACAGTGCAGTATTGCAGTTCTTTGTGAAGGTTGCAGACATTTGTATATATTCTTTTTACCTGTAAGTATATTTCGAAAGGTAAATGGTTGAATCTGGAACAGCCAATAAGGAGTATAAAAGTGCTTTCCATATTGGCTAGTGATACATTAACTGTAGCTATACTTGTGGTCCTTACAGCTGTAACTTTTAATTTGCCTTTTTTAAAAAAAGAGATTTGGGGGCACACCAAATCAAAGCAAACGCAAAAAGCATCCATTTTAAGGAATAATAAAATCATCCTTGCTAATCTGTAGTGAACTCTTAAGAATATAGAGAGGACCTTTCCCACATTGCAGGCTTTTTCTACATAAAACGGAATCGAATTTAAAAATGGCTTCACTGGGCATATGTACCTAAAAAGGAAGAGAATGATCTCCTGTTGTGTTTGCGTTGTCCTCTTCAACTTAGAAGAAAGATGCAGAGAATTGAGCATCTCTGGAGAAACTTAAGAGCAAACCTGAGAGACTTAGAGAGGCCCTTAGCAAGAACAAACTAGTATGTTTAGCCCTAAGGGTGGGGTTATTCCTGGGATAGTATCTTTGTATCTTGCAACAAAGTTTGCCTCTGACAGGGCTTTTCAAGGGTTGTTCTAGCCATTGGCTTGGGTTTGTGGAAGCCACACAGCTAGTTTCTCAACTTCATGTGGGTTTGTTCTTCTGTCCACACTCAGAGAATTGGACCTATTTTATGTGGTCTTCTCCCTTTAACCTGTTGGCATGTATTTGTTGATTTAATCTAGTGTCATTATTGTATAGAGCTTGATCTTGTTCTTGCCTGCCTGTTGTTTCAGCGATTAGTACATCTGTGAATCCCTAACTAATTCATCATCGTGGTGTGTTGTATATTCTGGTATTTATTCTCCAACATTGTATAATTCCCTTCCCCTTTTTGGGGGGTAAAGGAACAAGAGGGTAGCTAATGCCTGGGTATTGAGTGTGGAATAGTGTTTATTAATGAGGAGAAAACCCTATTCTGGCACCTTGACAGCATATCCTTGTTTTCTTTGGGAACTTGCAATTACAATGGAGTGAGGGAGGGATCCTTAAGACTGCCAAACAAGTTCAAAAGACCAGCATGTTAGGCTCAAAGAGATAGCAGTACATCCTTAGGCAAATAGTCTGCTTCCTTCCAGTATCAGTTTCATTAGATCATCTTTTTAAAAAACTCCTCCAAAATGAACCAAATAACCCAAAAGATAATACTTCATACTTATTTTACATGCTGCTTTTAGATGGACCAAGTAATTTTTGTGACAACTTGAGGTTCCTTAAATGGGCCAATATGACCTACCCGCTTTGGCTGAATACAGCTAGATATATTTATTATTCAATAAGATGAGGGAGTGTAAGAAGTAATTATGTTTCAGAATAAACTTGTGTTTATTTATAGAAGGCTTTATGTTGGGTTATATAATTGTGTACAACACATATGTAATTGTGTACAATTACATAACTCAAATGTCAAGCTTTTTGTTCTCAGAACCTCTTGGACTCCTGAAATAACTATTGAGAACCTAAGGGAGTCTGTGTGTGACTTCTATTTAATGATATTTACTACATCAGAAAATAAAACTGATAAATTAAAAAATATGTGTCTAATAATTAACTTACAAATAATAAATATGTTCAGTAACACTTTATGGAAAAAATAACAGTTTTTTAACAAAATTAGTGAGAAGAGTGGCATTGTTTTGTATTTTTGAAGCTCTTATTGTCTAGCTTAGTAAATAATTGTCAGCTGTATTCAGGTTGTTGAGATACCACAAGTCATTCAAGGCTCTAGAAAATGCCTTTGCATGTTTGTGAGAGAACAAGAGTGAACAATAGAAGTAATTTTTTTTTTAATTTGGAAAAACATATTTGGGGTACAAGGAGGTGAGGGTTGGGGGCAGAAGTGTGAGGATGGGCAGGGATGCAGTTGCAGAGCTGCACAGTTTGGTCGGTGGGGGGAAGAAGTAATATTTTTAAAAGTAATGTCTAAAAGTTTTACTTTGAAAACAATTTTGACCTCATAGATACCCTAAGAGGATTTTAGACTTTCTTGAAGGCTGAAGACTACACTTTGAGAACCCATTGATATAAAAAACAAACTCATCAAAGTGGCTTAAAAATTTTAGAGACATTCTCGAGGCTTTAAGGCTAGCAACACTTATGGGCCTCTGTGAGGCCAGAGCTGGCAACTAACAAAAAAGAGGTTTGCAAAGTGTTTTTAAATGTATTTGTTAGAAAACACATCATGGGGTCCAATATCTGCTGGCTCTCAAAAAGAATTGCAGTCTAATTTAGTTGGGGAGCAACAGGAAGAACTGGTTAGAAGGGAAAAAAAAATCCATGTTAAGATTTCAGGTAAATGTTGAAAATAACAATCTCCTAATAAGGTAAAAGCTGATTTATGTTCAATCTTTACCAAAGGCATTTTAGTTTAAGTGGAAGATTTTGAATAAAAACTAGGAAATTCTTTCCAAAATTTTAATATATGCACATACCAGGTGTTATTTTCAGAAGCTGGAGGCTCAAGCATACTTTATTTTGTGGATAAAAAAATTGGACAGGCGTAAAATATAGAGAAACATTGTTTAAGAATGTAGCCTGAACACAATTGATTTTTAATATTGTGGTTTGGTGAAAATTTACATAGCAAATGAGATTCTCATTTAATAACTTCTGTACCTCTTATTCTGTGAGATTGGTTACACTTTTCAGAATGTGTCAGCATTATTACTTCCATTCTGATTGTTCTGTTTCCATGAATCTACCTTGCGTTTCCATGAATCTACCTTGTCTCCATTACCTTTTCATTTTTGGTCTAGGGTAAATGCTGACCCTTCAGTCTCATTTAGATAGATGATTGTTGAGAGAAGCCTAGTATTTACTGATGAGATGTTATTTTATGAGTTTCTCTTGTCTTTTGGCTGATGGCTGACCACAGCCAGTGGTTTGAGTTCCAAGTTTAAAGGGTATCTCAGAGTGATAATATGGGGTAAACACAACTATTTTAATTAATAGATATACAGAAGACTTGATGTTCTTTTGCCAAGCTTTTAGATTTCAGGGGCTTGAATTATTTAGGCGGATAAATTGGAAATACTTTAATAGCACACACATGAGAATTTATTCGTATTCTTTAAAGAGATGAGAGTACGTCTCTAAATTTAGAACATACACCTATACCTGCCCTTGCCCTTACATTTATCCTACTCAAAACCAGTAGGTAGATAGATGTAGGTCAAGGCTGGTTTTGAAATTTCCAGAGTATAATGAAGATAAACCCTTTTTAAAAGATTCATTTAGTGGGATAAGGTACTGATTATTGCTGCTTTTACAGTGGCGATAAATTTGTAATGAACTGATAAGCTTTTGACAAAGGTGAAAAATCACCTTAATGCAGTGATGGATTCTTTCAAAGCCTACATCTTGTGAAAAGTCTTTGCTCAGCACACTAAATTTTCGAGATCTGTCATTTGTTTCTCATCAGGTCAAATGCATTTCTTGCATTTTAATAGCACCACAGAGTATTTCTTAAGTGCATAGCACATAATAAGTCACGCAGAAAATATTTGCTTAATGAATGAATGAACTGTCTTCTGTGTAGAGTGTGGCAGGAATGGTGGTTGACTTATGTTGAAACAAATGCAAAGTAACTGTGCTT